ATACCAGAAGATTAACAGACTGAATAAAAGATTTTATAGTGAAAGTCCAGTAATTTCATGAGTAGTAATGAAAGCATTTAAATATATATATATAAGTATATATATAAAAAGTTTCACGCTTTTGCCCTTTGTTGCCTCCACTCTGTTAGTTACACAGGAGGATCTGTACAAATGACCAAATCATTTCCATTCTTGACTCCCTGGGTAACTCAAGTTTGGAAGAAATGGTTCAGCTAAACATGACTTTGAATAAGGCAACATAAATGATGCAACACTGCTACCAATCTGTGCAGTGCATCAGACAACTGATTTCCTTTGCTGTTCCAGAGGACATGGAACAGTAGCACTTAAAGTTGCTGTGTTAAACTTAACACCAAAAATTTTTTGAATTATATAACAATTACAACTTTTTGAGAATTACTTAGATTATTATAGCACTTTCTAGAAGGCATAATAATTATGCAGCTTAAGAAGTAATTTTGTTAATCATCAAATGACAAAAATATGCAATGAAAAACATTCCCAGAACTGTAAAGGACAACAACTGAAAGTAGAGAATATTCCTTGTCTGTTTCCCTGTGATAAAATCCTTCCAATGTCCTACATTAAAGGTAGTGCAAGCTAATTTTACTCAGTCTTATCTGATCTACTTACTTTTTAGCATGTCTAGGAGACGATAATAGTTAGATGTCTTTAATGATCACATATATTTATTCTGAAGGGCATACTCTCCTTTCTAAAGAAACTATAGTCAGAATGCCTTATTGCTGTGATCACAATCTCAGCATTACACAAAGAGTAAGTCACCTATCCCCTATGCTGGATAACAAAAGCACAGACTGTGGGAACTGGAAAGATGGTTAGAAGTGATAGAGAAGGAAAAGGCAAAGAAAAAAAAAGGGAAAAGGGAAAAAAAAGGAAAAGGGAAAAAAAGGGAAAAAAAGGAAAAGGGGAAAGGGGAAAGGGGAAAGGGGAAAGGGGAAAGGGGAGAGGGGAGAGGAGAGGGGAGGGAAGGGGAGAGGGGA